GAGCTAAGTTGTCTCGGGCTTTAGGCCCTTGGCAGGGTCACTCCTGGCAAACAGGTCCTAGGTGAGGGGCCAGTCAAAGCAAGGCTAAGAGACCCCACAAGGGGAATAAGAAAGTTGGATCTCATTTTCCCGAGCCCAGATGCTGGTCACCAACGCCCCCCTCCGGTAGCCAGGCCTGGAGATAGGGCTCGCTGCCGAGCGCCTGGTGGCCGGGCCCCAAGGGTGCAGCCCGAAAAGGCAAGGTAGGTCCCCAATCCCATGGTCTCACTCCCTGTGGAAGGGGCCAAAGGGGCCGGGTACTTTGTGAGCCAAACGAGTGTTCATATCTACACTTGGCACCAGGACACCCAAGGCCGCAGTTAAATGATCAACTTTGTTGTATTCGGAGTCATCTGGGATAGGCTGCTGCCCCTTTATGAAACCCTTGTTTTGAATCACAATTCTACCAGTATTTTCTTTAGCGGAGGCTCATACTGTCGCGTGCAGAACAGTAAATATTTGCTTGTACACGGACAAAATGGGTTTTTTGGGTTACTCAATTGTATTTGGTCAACCCCGTGCCTGCGTGGGTTTTGTACTCTGGTTTGCTCCCACATTCCAAAAACATGCATGGCAGGTGAATGGAACACTCTAAATTGTCCCTTGGTATGACTCTGAGCATGAGTGGTTGTTCGTCTAAGTGTGCCCTACGATTGGCTGGCAACCATTTCAGGGTGTCCCCCGCCTATTGCCCGAAGACAGCTGCGATTGGCTTCAGCATCCTCCGCAACCCGAATGAGGATAAAGCGATTCGGAAAATGAATGAATGAATTTCTCATCCAGTCAATCTTCACTGTTAAGTTAGTGTTGGGGTCAAATATAAATGATTTGGTTTCCAAATTCATGAATTGTTTTGGGATATGGAAGCTGTATCATTTTTGTGATTGAGATATTTAAAATACTACGACTACTAATACTACTGTATTAGTACTACTACAAATAACAATAATAATAAAAAGAAGAAGAAGAAGAAGAAGAAGAAGAAGAAAAAGAGTTATATTATTATTATTATTTTAAAAAATCAGTTGACACAACCCAATTTGACTCAATGTTTTTTTTTTGTGTTTGTTTTAAATAAAACAAGCCAGAACATTTGGTAAAATTCACCCAAGGAGGACATCGGTCAAATTGGGTTATTTTGACCCAACTCTTTGCTTAACAATAATAATAAAAAGAAGAAGAAGAAGAAGAAAAAGAGTTATTATTATGATTATTATTTTAAAAAATCAGTTGACACAACCTAATTTGACTCAATGTTTTTTTTTTGTGTGTGTTTGTTTTAAATAAAACAAGCCAGAACATTTGGTAAAATTCACCCAAGGAGGACATCGGTCTGTGTTTGCTCCAAATTGGGTTATTTTGACCCAACTCTTTGCACTGTGTCGGTTTTTGCCTTTTTCCCAGAGAGACTAGCATCCATCCATCCATCCTTTTTCTGTAAGGCTTATCCTCACATGGATTAGTTGAAGCCTATACCGGCTCACTTCAGCCGTGGGATACACCCTGAACTAGTCCCCAGCCAATCATAGGGCACATAAAAACAAACATTCACACACAAATTCACTGCTAAGGCAAATTTAAAGTCTATACCTAACATGCATGGTTTTAGAATGTGGGAAGAAGCCAAAAGACCAAAAAAATCTCCACAAACAGAAAGAACAGGCAAACTCCACATAGGAAGATCGGGACCTGGATTCAAACCCCCAACCTCAGCACTAATGATGGATACGCGAACTACTCCATGTACCATGTCGCCCACTTGCGGTGGAATGCAGAAAAAAAGAAACTTTAAGGTCGCCTTGGAGAACTGCAGTTAGAATGATTCATGAAGTTTATACTTAAAAGAACTCAAATTCTACATTTTGTCTGCCCCCCCGACCCCCATTAATAAATAAATAAATCGTTCCTCCTCTTTCATTACTTTTTGGTTCTGCTTTAACTGTCACTAAAGATCCGGTTCGTCATTAACCAATACACGCAATGAATGTGTGTGTGCGTGTGTGTGTGTGTGTGTGTGTGTGTGTGTGTGTGTGTGTGTGTGTGTGTGTTTTTGTGTGTGTGTGTGTGTGTGTGTGTATGTGTGTGTGGGTGTGTGTGTGTGTGGGTGGGTTGGTGAATGGGTGTGTGGGTGTTTTATTCTCTTGGGCATTGTGGACAGAAGCCAGCCAGCTCATTATGTTGCCATTGGATAATTTTAATTGTTAATTCCAAACAAAAGACTCACTGGCCATTTTAAAAAGACGTCCACGGTGTGTGTGTGCATTTGCATTCTGAACTGAACCATGGTAGTGCAAGTTGATAGGTTCGTAGTTTTGTAGTGGATAGCTCTACTTTATGAATGGGCAAAAGGAGAGATGGAATCCTCAGAAGGTAGCTTTTATTCTTTCAACGTCTACACCTCCGAACGAACGAACGAGAACACAACTCTCGTCACTAAAATCACTTCCTGCTTCTCTTACTTGAACAGCCAATCAGAACCTATCAACATAAAAACATGTCTAAGCAATTATTAAACAACAGAATATAATTTAGGTATGCTTAACATGAAATAATATGATGCTCAAACATAAAATGATAATTAATAATATAACATTAGCTTACAGTAGAGATGATGTCTTGGAGACATGTAAGCTTTCAATGTGTGTGTGTTGACACAATGTGCATAAATCAACCAGACATTGGTCGTAATCATCGGCAATTTGATAAACTGTCACATTTATCATCATTTAGGAGTCATTGTTTTTTTTATTGTCGACCCGTCTCTGATTCAGCAAAGCTATGGTGGAAATTTGAAATTTGGGCCACTTTATTTTAATATAATCAGACATGTTGGCACAACATGAGGGGACACTGAAAATTAACGACTGGATGGCATAACAGCGGAGTGAATCTCAAATTTTAGAGAAAGTGAAAGTCATACCTTCTCTACTCGTCAATGAAGCTCACAGACCAGTATAATAATTTTAATGGTATCAAAGACACATACTTAATGGCAAATAAAGATTTTTCCAGCCCCTGGCACGGAGCTGGGCATAAATTCAACGCTGGGTTTAAACTTACATATGCGCAATGATTATCGTAAATGAGGCATCAGGCGTGTGTTGAAATGCGCACCCTGTTGGCTGCAGATAAAGGCAAAATGTTGGTGTCGGTGTGCGGTTAAATCCCGCCATCTAGAGGATAAATATTATAGCGCACGGTATCTTAACTTATGTTTTTATTTTCTGTGGTAAGATAGTGGCACTTCTCCTTCCGGAATTAATTGGTTCTGGAAGAAATTTATTAACGAGAAAATGTTGTAAGTGGAGACGCATTTTCCATGTAAATGCCCTAATCCGTTCCAAGCCCCGTCAAAATTCAGTCATAAATGTTTTCTGAAGAACAAAAATGCATCAAAATATTAAACAAGTACATGTTATAATTTGATTATTGCACAATAAATGAGAGCTGTGCATCATGTAAAAAACAAAGAATAGAGTACAGAGTAAAAATGATGGTCATTTAACTTTTAACTACATCCTCATCGTTTTTTGGCCTCTTTAGTTCATGCTCTCTGTCAGAAGTGGTTTTTGCTTGGCGTTTTGTAAAGAACTGATCCAAGGACGTTTGCTTTTGTCGGCTTTTAACAAACCGTCGAAAATGTCCATGGTAAACATCAGCATAGTGAGCGATCGCCCGACTGGTGAACACTTTTTTTCTGGGTGATTCTCATTGACGTATAACTTTCGGAATGCCTCCTGACCTAAAGGGCGAATGACAAGGATACTACATAGCCACATTTATAGCAACACACACAGACACACTCTTAGCCAATGGGACTCCAGGAAGATGCTTGGTACAGTCATAGCCAATGGCAGAGCAGCTATAAGTATGTTGCGTCCAGGGAACTCGGAGCTGCGACTAGCAGCCTAGCTGTATTTTTACCTTTCGTATCTTGAAATTTATTTTGCAACAAGAGGCAATATTTTCCTGTTGAGGCGTTTTGTAACTTCGTTTTTCGTATGAAGAGACGTTCGTAAGTAGATGTACCACTGTAGTTCATTATAATTAAGTCTACAGTGTCGTATCATTTGATCTGAATTATTTTCTCATACAATTGAAGGACAGTCACAAAGTCATTTTAACCCCCCCCCGCCTCACGTTTTACCATTCTATTTTAATAATTGTAGGAGTCAATTTAATACAGTATTGGTTAATTTTTATAAACTGTATTTAATAACGGAGTTAAAATACTTGTCATGATTATTTTTTGTGTATCTTAGATTTTACTTGTTTAAAATACAGAAAGATACAGTATGTTAGAATATTTCTTCGTTGGAAGTACAGTATTTGATACGACGTCACGTGATTGGCGACAGTATGTAGTTAAGTAGGAGTGAGCTGGACTTTAGAAGGAGAGATGAGTTCAGCTCATGATAGAAGTGATATTTTTTTTGTCCTAAATTTTTTTTACGTGAAACAAGGTCAGAGAGATATTTTTTGTACAACTTCCTGTTTATTAAATAGAAAAGATCAAATAATTTCCTGTTGTTTCAATTCAAGACTCATCATTACACTGGTCTCAAAGGTGTTTTCTCTGTGGTTTAACAACTACAATAATGATTAATACCAATGGTGTGCAGAGTATTGAAGCGCTCTACTTGGAAATCTGGCACATGGAAGATTTATTTTTATTATTATTATTATTATGATTATTATTATGAATGGAGATTTTGTGCTTAATTCTATTTCTGTATGTATTTTTGAAGTTCAAGAGTTGAATCAGTTTTAAGTTTGAGTGTCTGTGTTCGAAGTATTATTTGGACTCTAGTACTTAAGGTCAGGGTGTGGGTGGGTTTTGCCACTTCAGAATTACTGAGAATTAACCGGCGAGAGGATACGTGGTTAGGAAAATGGACGGATAATAATTTTACTGTACCTGTTTCATGTCACGACATCTCAAAAAGATAACCTGTAGCGAACTCTACTGGACAGAATTTTCACTCAGGCCGCTGTTGCTGTGGCAACATCTTGGCAACAACAAATCAGTAGTTGAGGTTCAGCAAGCGACTGTTTTCACGATTTGAAATATGTCTTTGGCCGAAAGTGTGGTCGAACCCATAATTCTGGAATTAGTACACGAGTGTACAACAGAAGATGCCTTGTCGGAAGACATGATCGCTTTAAAGGTAAGAAAACACAGTTAGTGCATGCTTAGTCTGTAGGTTCGTCTCCACCTCGTCATTCATTTAAATCAATGTCATGAACATAAATTATGTTAATACATGTACTATTGTTGAGAACCCTCTGGAAAATGTGCATTTTAATTCATTTTACCCCGGTTGCCAGTCACACATTTTTCACTTAACCTTAGCGAAAGTAGCACACCAGTTCACCTTCCTACTTTAACTGCAGTTGTGGGGGAGTCTCATTGCCAAAAATAATTGCTGGTGAGTTTTTTTAAGGTTCTCAAAAGTCAGCAAATTGCGGAGGCGACAACCACAAGGTTAAATTAAGTTAACGGCGCAGGTAAACGTTTGTTATCCACTCTATTCTGCAATGACGTAATCCGTTTACGTTCGCTTGTTGGAGGGCTCTGTGACGACTGCACAGAAGAGCAACACCGCCAGGGGGTAGTAATGAGTCGTGTCACTTGCTGACGGCGAGCAAGAATTTACCCAAAATGCCAAAATGCTGTGTGTACACAGTAAAAAAAACTCAAGAATCCCACAAGCCTATGAGAGTGCAAAAAAGATTGTACTAACATCTAAAGATGACAGTGAACTCACCATAAAGGTAACATTCCCGGATAATGCAAATATGTTGAAGAGAACAGCACTCGAGGTAAATTTCTCCATTGTTACAATGGGCTGTGACTGAGTCTGTGCGAAGCGATGCGCGGCTGTTTAGGGACAAGTAAGTAATAAAGTCCATAGATTTTTCTAAATTCCAGCTCAGTGATTCATTCTTGTTTGATTTCACAATGTATGGGCACTGAACCTCAAAACTCTTTAAGCACTATCTCAATGAGCGGCAAATTGATGTTCTTCCTTTGGTAATATTCCTGACAGCTGCGCATGGGGACACTTCCGGCCACATGCAGTCCTTCCCTTGACACAATCAAGATGCAAGTGTATTTTGACATCAATTACACTTCTAGACGTGAGTGAACCTGTTTTCTATGCTACATGAATATTCATTTATAAACTAGAATTGGAGCAAGTTTAACAAACACCAAAATGTAGAAAGAACTAATCTAAAACCAAAACATGGTCAATAAACAATGCCGTTGAACGGAGAAAAGCACCAAATCTTTATCGACAAATCAATGTGTTAATTAGCAGTCACTATAATGGAGCAGATCAATTATCTCAGTGTTAAAAATTTCCAATGATCTTCAATGGTAACTTTTTTTACAATGTTATACGGTGGATCCAGATAATAGTCAAAGAGCTTGTGTTACAGCCTTATTCCAAAATTTATTATCTAAATTGCTTTGCTCTGTTCTACACACACTACCCCATATACAGAAACTGACATTTCTGCTAACATATTTTCAGCTTTTGTTATTTCATCGAAATTTGAACTGAAGTGCATTCTGCTTAGTGGCACGATGGTCGACTGGTTAGCACGTCCACCTCACAGTAGGCCGTGGGTTCGATTCAAGGCTTCCTGTGTAGAGTTTGCATGTTCTCCCTGTGCCTGCATGGGTTTTTTCCGGGTACTCAGGTTTCCTGTCACATTCCAAAAAACATGCATGGAAGGTAGATTGAATGCTCGAGATTGTTCGTAGGTGTGACTGTGAGTGTGAATGGGCGTTCGTCTATGTGTGCCGTGCGATTGGCTGGCAATCAACTCAGGGTGTCCGCCACCTAATCCCCAAAGACGGTTGGGACAGGATCCAGCATGTCCATGCTCTCGTGAGAATAAGCAGATTTGAAAATTGATTGATTGGAGAACATGCAAACCCCACGCAGAAAGGTCTGCACCTCTCCACAGTGTTCTAAACCGTCAACCTCCATGCCGACCCTTGCATAAAATAAGATTTTTTAATATAAAATGAAGACAAGAACTGATGAGAGGCGAAAGCGTCTTCTGAGACAAAACAGCAGCCCAGTTGTGATCACTTCACTTCCCTGAGAAAGAAATGACCCGGGTCAATGAAAATATATCCGCAAGCAAAGTGAAGACAGTATTATTATCTAACATCTAAAGATGACAGTGAACTCACCATAAAGGTAACATTCCCGGATAATGCAAATATGTTGAAGAGAACAGCACTCGAGGTAAATTTCTCCATTGTTACAATGGGCTGTGACTGAGTCTGTGCGAAGCGATGCGCGGCTGTTTAGGGACAAGTAAGTAATAAAGTCCATAGATTTTTCTAAATTCCAGCTCAGTGATTCATTCTTGTTTGATTTCACAATGTATGGGCACTGAACCTCAAAACTCTTTAAGCACTATCTCAATGAGCGGCAAATTGATGTTCTTCCTTTGGTAATATTCCTGACAGCTGCGCATGGGGACACTTCCGGCCACATGCAGTCCTTCCCTTGACACAATCAAGATGCAAGTGTATTTTGACATCAATTACACTTCTAGACGTGAGTGAACCTGTTTTCTATGCTACATGAATATTCATTTATAAACTAGAATTGGAGCAAGTTTAACAAACACCAAAATGTAGAAAGAACTAATCTAAAACCAAAACATGGTCAATAAACAATGCCGTTGAACGGAGAAAAGCACCAAATCTTTATCGACAAATCAATGTGTTAATTAGCAGTCACTATAATGGAGCAGATCAATTATCTCAGTGTTAAAAATTTCCAATGATCTTCAATGGTAACTTTTTTTACAATGTTATACGGTGGATCCAGATAATAGTCAAAGAGCTTGTGTTACAGCCTTATTCCAAAATTTATTATCTAAATTGCTTTGCTCAGTTCTACACACACTACCCCATATACAGAAACTGACATTTCTGCTAACATATTTTCAGCTTTTGTTATTTCATCGAAATTTGAACTGAAGTGCATTCTGCTTAGTGGCACGATGGTCGACTGGTTAGCACGTCCACCTCACAGTAGGCCGTGGGTTCGATTCAAGGCTTCCTGTGTAGAGTTTGCATGTTCTCCCTGTGCCTGCATGGGTTTTTTGCGGGTACTCAGGTTTCCTGTCACATTCCAAAAAACATGCATGGAAGGTAGATTGAATGCTCGAGATTGTTCGTAGGTGTGACTGTGAGTGTGAATGGGCGTTCGTCTATGTGTGCCGTGCGATTGGCTGGCAATCAACTCAGGGTGTCCGCCACCTAATCCCCAAAGACGGTTGGGACAGGATCCAGCATGTCCATGCTCTCGTGAGAATAAGCAGATTTGAAAATTGATTGATTGGAGAACATGCAAACCCCACGCAGAAAGGTCTGCACCTCTCCACAGTGTTCTAAACCGTCAACCTCCATGCCGACCCTTGCATAAAATAAGATTTTTTAATATAAAATGAAGACAAGAACTGATGAGAGGCGAAAGCGTCTTCTGAGACAAAACAGCAGCCCAGTTGTGATCACTTCACTTCCCTGAGAAAGAAATGACCCGGGTCAATGAAAATATATCCGCAAGCAAAGTGAAGACAGTATTATTATTATTTTTTTTTGTTGACCAGACAAATGAAACTGTTAGTACTACATGATAAAACTGCTAATGGTAAAACTTAACATTTCTAATTTACATCAGAAGTGGAAGTACCACAAGTGCATCCTTGATCATCCAATTACAACCATTTCAAACATTCCCATTTGCCAAAAATGAAACATTTTCATCATTAAAATACCCGGGTTATAAAGGCCACGTTCCCTTTCGCCGTTGTCGGAGGCAGTCTCGTTGCCAGGTCGTTGTTGAGCAAAGATGGTGGTTTTCACGAAAGCTCTGATGACACTTTAAGCCGATACTTAAGCCCAGGCATTTACAATCCATTCACATTTATTGTTGTGAAAGATCGTGAGGTGACCAAAAATGACAGAGAATTGAGGCCGACTGCAATTTCCTAACCACGACAGTATTTCATTTTATGTATATATATATATTTCTTTTATACCCAGGCGAGTTCCTCAGGGAAATCAACTGGATGTTGGAGACTAGATTAACCCAAGTGAGCAGGGAGATCACCGAGAGCAGGGTGAAAACGAAAGACCAGTTGGATGCCCTTTACCGTAAAATCATCACATTCATCCTGCTGGGCTCCGGCATGGGCTCACCTTCAGATGTCTGCTCTGTTCAAGAGGCTACAGGTAACCCAATGGCAAAAGTACTGAATCAGCAAAGGTGATAGGAAACACAACAGGGAGTTTGTGGCCAAGGTCACGAGAGCCCACCATACACTTGTGAACGAATTTGCCGACAAGTGACCCTTGTGCGCTTACTTCATGTACGGTCGGCTCAATTCGTTGAGCACGTCGTCTAGGGAGCGAAGGGATTACAGTTTGAACGACTCTGTCAGCTGTCGAATGATCCTTGGGGCAAGACACTGAACAGCAATTTGCTCATGCCTTCTGCAAGCAACGCTATCAATTGTGGTTGTTCAGCCAGACATCGTTGGCAACTAGATTTATTATTATCAGAGAGGAATCATTCATTGTCACCGTTTTGTTTGTGTATGCAGAAATGTGGACCCCGTCCCCCCACAAAAAATAGCAGAGGCAATTCGATCAATCAAACAATCATTTATTTCTACAAGGAAGAACCTCAGGCCTCACTTTTCCAATACTCTCTGGGTAATGTATACAGTGGTACCTCTGCTTACGAACGTCTCATCATACGCCATTTTCAAGTTACGAAGATAAGATGAGATAAGATAGCCTTTATTTGTCCCACACGCCTCAACAGGAAAATATTGCCGTGTTTCCTGAACGCAACAAATTGATAGCTACTCTGCCATTGGCGATTCCCGAGCATCATCCTGGCATCCCATTGGCTAAGAGGGACCTCTACCGCACGAGTCTATGTGTGTAGATAGATAGGTGTGTCTATGCAGCATCCTCGCCATTCGCCCCTTGGGCCATGAGGCCTTCCGATAGTTTGACATAAATGTGAATCCCCAGAAAAAGTGTTCACCAGTCGGGCGATCGCTCACCCTGCTGATGTTTGCCTTGGACATTTTCGAAGGTTTGTTAAAAGCCGACAAAAGCAGATGTCCTTTGCTCAGTTCTTTACAAAACGCCAGGCAAAAAAAACACTTCTGAGAGAGAACATGAACGAAAGAGTCCAAAAAATGAGGATGCAGTTAAAAGTTAAATGACCATCATTTTTATTATTTACTCTATTTGTTGTTTACATTGTGCAATAATCAAATTTGCAACATCTATTTGTTACATATTTTGATGCATTTTATGCTTTAGAAAACATTTGTCTGAATTTTGGGGGGCTTGGAACGGATTAGGGCATTTACATAGAAAACGCATCTCTACTTACAAACTTTTCTATTAAAGAAATTTCTTCTGGAACCAATTAATTTCGTAAGTAGAGGTACCACTGTATTTACGGTTGTCAACTCACTTTATGGCTTGTATCAGCTGCCTTGCAGAGTATTTTTCCATCAAGTGAACTGGGGGCCTTTATGGTGCTCCCAAAGAGAGATAAGGAGCAACAACTCTCAGAGCTCACAATGACTGTCACAGGAATTCGACTCTTCAACAAAGCCAGCAAGAAAGAACAGGACATGAAGTTTTCCGAACTAAGTATGACACAGTATCTTCGGCTCACACATTGGAATTGGGTCTTGTCTCAAAAAGATTTTTTTTCGTCTCTCGTTTTGCAGTGCCTGCAGTTCTCTGTGAAGCGCTTTCGGTTACCAGTGAAGCCATAGAGAATGAGCTGAGTATCTCCCAGAGTTTGGCGTGGAACTACACAGCGCTGTTAGAAAAGTATCATGGCAGTCAGCCGGGAGAATGTGATGTGTCACTGGTTCAACTAACAAAAGCGCTCTACAATGTCAGGCAGTGTGAATATTTTCTACAAATTTTACTGGTGAGAAGAAATTTTGTCGTTGGTGCTTGATTGCGCATGTTGCTACATTGTCTTTTTGCATTCCAGCTGTGTTGCATTTGTGAATGGGTAAAATGTGCACTTAATCAGGCCTCTTTATACTCCCCTCTACAATTAAATGCGTCAGTGAGTCAGTCATCTACTGTTTTTTTTCTCGATTTAATATATATATATATTTTTTTTTTTTTGCAGGCAACCATGTCCATTTACCACCCCAACCAGCCCACCCCATCCCCACGTACACACTCCAAATAATACTAATCCGATTTTTTTTTTTTTTTTAAACCAATCATTCTGATGGCGAACCACTGATCAGTTCCGGTCAGAGTCAAGGTCACATACGGACCCTCCGTCAATTGCCGTTCAAAGGTTTTTCCATCAAGTGAACTGGGGGCCTTTATGGTGCTCCCAAAGAGAGATAAGGAGCAACAACTCTCAGAGCTCACAATGACTGTCACAGGAATTCGACTCTTCAACAAAGCCAGCAAGAAAGAACAGGACATGAAGTTTTCCGAACTAAGTATGACACAGTATCTTCGGCTCACACATTGGAATTGGGTCTTGTCTCAAAAAGATTTTTTTTCGTCTCTCGTTTTGCAGTGCCTGCAGTTCTCTGTGAAGCGCTTTCGGTTACCAGTGAAGCCATAGAGAATGAGCTGAGTATCTCCCAGAGTTTGGCGTGGAACTACACAGCGCTGTTAGAAAAGTATCATGGCAGTCAGCCGGGAGAATGTGATGTGTCACTGGTTCAACTAACAAAAGCGCTCTACAATGTCAGGCAGTGTGAATATTTTCTACAAATTTTACTGGTGAGAAGAAATTTTGTCGTTGGTGCTTGATTGCGCATGTTGCTACATTGTCTTTTTGCATTCCAGCTGTGTTGCATTTGTGAATGGGTAAAATGTGCACTTAATCAGGCCTCTTTATACTCCCCTCTACAATTAAATGCGTCAGTGAGTCAGTCATCTACTGTTTTTTTTCTCGATTTAATATATATATATATATTTTTTTTTTTTGCAGGCAACCATGTCCATTTACCACCCCAACCAGCCCACCCCATCCCCACATACACACTCCAAATAATACTAATCCGATTTTTTTTTTTTTTTTAAACCAATCATTCTGATGGCGAACCACTGATCAGTTCCGGTCAGAGTCAAGGTCACATACGGACCCTCCGTCAATTGCCGTTCAAAGGAAAGTGAAGTCAAAAATATGTTCTTACAATAACTTTTCTATCCCTTGAGAAACTGGCTCAGGTGTGGTGCCTCATACGTCACGAGACTACGGCTTTCCTATGAGTTGCGCGGATTTTGGGGCAATGTACACCCTTAAAAATGCTCGATCAAATTTGAAACTCAACTATTGGTCAGAGGTCGGGTCAGTTTAACTAAATGTTGGATTAGTAGATGTTGGGTAAGAGATGATGTGCCCATTGCATAAAACAAAATGTATTGATTAAATGGGATTAATAATGAATTCAATCATTGAAATTAATTATGGGGTCACACTGAATTAACCCAACGGCAAAGTCAAATTTGACCCAGCATTCTAGTTAAAGTTAACGCAGGAGTTTGTTTTGTTCGTCTTCATTTATACCATAAACAGTTATTATGCATTCACTTTCAGGCTGATTCACGTTCGTGTGCAAAAAGAATTGAAATCCTACAGAAGGACATTTTCTCCCAGATATACCTGCTCAAAACATCGGTGCAGCCCAAGACAGCTGTGCCTACCTCAAAGGTTTTTGTAAGTAATTTGCTGAAAACTATGAGAATACTTTGACATTTCTTTGGACGAATGAATGATTGATAGGCAGCAAGGAGGTCGACTGGTTAGCACAGTACAGAGGTTGTAGGTTCGAATCTGGCCTTGGCCTTTCTGTGTGGAGTTTGCAAGCTCTCCCCGTGCCTGTGCGGGTTTTCTCCGGGTATTCCCGTCCACTCCCTCATTCCCAAAACATGCATGGTAGGTTAATTGAACACTCGAGATTGTCCCTTGATATCATTGTGAGTGTGAATGGTCATTTGTCTATGTGTGCCCTGCGATTGGCTGGCATCCAATTCAGGATGTAACCTGACTCATGCCCAAAGTCAGCTAGGATAGGAGCCAACACGCCCGCGACCTCTAAGGATAAGCGGTTCAGATAATGGATGGATGGATGGTGATAAAAGATTTAGTTCCATGCGTTACAGACATTACTACTAAATTACTGTTTCATGTCCATCCATTTTCCGATTCGCTTTATCCTCACAAGGGTCGCGGGTGGTGATGGAGCCTATCCCAGCCGTCTTCAGGCAGTAGACGGGGACACCCTGAACCGGTTGCCAGCCAATCGCAGGGCACACAGAGACGAACAATCACACCTAGGGACAATTTTGAGTGTTCAATCAGCCTGCCATGCATGTTTTGGAATGTGGGAGGAAACCAGAGTACCCGGAGAAAAACCCACGCAGGCCCGGGAAGAACATGCAAAGGCCATACAGGGAGGCCGGAGTTGGAATTGAACTTGGTACCTCTGCACTGTGAGGTCGACGCACTAACCGCTGGACTACCAGGCCGCCCATGTTCCATGTTCTCACGTTTTTTTTTTTTGTTTGTTTTTTTTTTAATTAATTCATCATCCTGTTTCAGCCATTGTTCAAGGCCTTGTCAAAACTGTGGTCGGAACTTCAGGATCAGGCAGAGCTGCTGAACATCTTGAACAACATTGCGCTCAGATTGCAGTTCTTCCGTACCTCTCATGCCAAGATTTTTTCCAAATATCCTTTGGACGATCTATTGGTGGGAGTAGAAGTCAAAACAGACAAAGAAAGAATAAACGAGCACTTAAGTATGGCTGTCATCATACACAGACGTTCATGGAATGGCAAATCATTTTACCAGAATATCGAGTGCGAGCTGTACTGCTTCTTTATACAGGTGAGCGCATTGATCCAGTGCAGACGAAGCAGCACGAGTGGCTGCAGCCTGAAACGACTGACAGTCTTACTGAGCTGCCATTGCAATATAATGGATTCTGTGCCTACACACTTGTTCACAAAGATGGACTTATTCTTCCAGGTAATGGCCCTTTGGTACCAATGACATCTGAATAGATTGGCAATGCGCGTGTGATAAGGTCTGCTACACAGCATTTAAAAGTCAAGTGTGAGGTGATTCCAGGAAATCCCAAGTGAAATCTTTTTAATGTCACAGGTGAAGTAATTAAACAAAATACATTCAATAAAGCATGAACAAAAAAAAAATCGCCCCCACCCTTCAGAACTCTCTACCACAACACATCCGCAACTGTACTGACCTCCAATCCTTCAAATCATTTCTTCAAACTCACCTGTTCCACAATGCTTTTAGCACCTTTTAATCTCTTTTACACATTTCTGCTTTATTTTTCTTCTTCTAAATATGTTTGTTTTAAATCATGTATGCTTGGCTTTAAAGTGTACATTTTATCCCGTGTTTTAAACTCTTGTAAAGTGTCTTTGAGTACGATGAAAAGCGCTTTCAAAAAATAAATGTATTATTATTATTATTATTATTGTTGTTGTTGTTATTATTATTAAAACTGCAATCAACCTGGTAGTCACAGTTGGGCACCCGTAGCTTTCCATATTTTCGGATTTTTGCCCCATTTCTCTCGATTTGTTGTGGAAAAGGTCAAATGAATGTTTATCAGCGTTTTTGAAGGATGATTTGGATATAATAATGCATCAGATTTATGTAACTTGTAAAACCAAAATAAAAATAACCGCACCCCAAATGTTGAAGTTTAATTTTTTATTTTTTTTAAATAATCAAAGGGCCACTCAGACTGTATCAAATTCAATCATAAGAATGCCCCTTTCCCTCAATATATTATCTATGGTATGTACATTAAAGCTCTTAAAACCAATGAATGATTTTTTTTTAAATCATGTCCAAATGTTGCATGCTTCATACCCTCATTTTAACTAAACCTAAGATTCACATGTGACATTCCCATTGCAGGAAATCCATTCATCGGTGTGCTCAAGCACAAGGAGAAACTGTATGTCTTCAACTCCAAAGAAGCTGCTTTGAAATTTGCCCACAGCCCCGATTACTTCATTGCACTGGTGGCAGAAAAAGCCAAGAGTTCCCCTGAACTTATTCAACTTCTCAAACTTCATCAAACTCCATCCTGTGTAAGATGACGATTGTAGCTTAGCCACTGCACTCTGTAAATTGTTTCTGCGATGAGCGTCGACACCCCCTCAATTTGACCAGCAACATCACCTAGTGAGTCCTCTGACCAAACACAGGCAGAATGACGGTTTGGCTATTTTACAGGTGCAAGCAGGAAAGACCATACTCGTGTCTAAGGCTGAGAATTGCACTCAGACAGATGTCCACGCGCTGGTGACCAACATTGTTAAGTCATATGAATGGAATGAGTGGGAACTGCGGAGGTCAGCTATCAAACTGGTCAGTCAAAGTTTTGATTCATTGTTTTCGAGTTTTTGGTCACAGAAACTGAATTTTGGTCTGGTTTGACAGCCAGCAACAGTTGTTTTCAACATCATGTGGGAGAAGTGTCAAACAAATACGGGTAGTAGCCACAGTTATGCTTAGGCCCCTGATACTATATCCGTCAGTGCAATATTGACAGTATTACTCCATCCCAGTGACACGGTAGGAGTTAGCATAGCCGCCTCAAAAGTACAGTGGCTGTGGGTTCGAATCTGGGCTCTTGTGTGGAATTTGCATGTTCTTCCCGTGTCTGCGTGAGTTTTCTCTGGGTACTCAAAAGGTGTGGTGGGAGGTTATGAACGTCGGATTCTCATAGTTATTTGTTGGTTCTCGAAGACTTATTGGAAGTGGGCACTGTGTCATCAATAAGAACGAGCAACGGAGAATGCCTAAACTCAGTCAAAAACATGTCAGCATTCAGTGCAGCAGTAAGTAGTGAATCAGCATGTGAAGTCTGACACTCTATTCTTCAGAGAAAGCGATGTGATTTGTAAGATTTTAGCATAGCGCTAGTTAGCGCTAGCCTTACAGACCCCACACATGTTCTTAAAGGCTCGCTAATCACCTGTGACCAGGTCTGCTCTAATGTGGGCTGTCATGGAAGGCTCAAACAGTCTTCTCTATACTTCTAGAAAGAGTGATACCGCCTTCTCAGTTTTGGATGAAGGCCGTCCAACTTCAGCAGGTTGGGCCGGCCCCATAAAGAGGGCCAGTTATTCACAAATTGCAGTCTCCGCTCACTATAAAAACGACCCAGCCGGTTAAGTGAGAACAACCTGCTAAACCTCTCATCATTGCCTCACAGGCAAGTGCCCAGAGACAACTACACAATGCTGACTCATCTTTCTGGCGAGATCACAAGTCCAAACTATGTTCCTCTTTGGGATCTGTGATTGTCTCATCCTAGTGTCATTGGAGCCAACAAGTATCACAATATCCGAGTAGCTAGTGTTGTTAGCCTTCCACTGGTGTCTTGTTTGTTTATTTATTGAACATATAAACCGTTAACAGAATATATTTGGTCGGAAGTAAAAAGATTTAAAAGAAAAGAAAAGAAAAGAAATGGTCATTAAGCACTGTTTACATGTTCAAAGGGGAGTCGGAAGAAGTACGATAAGATAAGATAAGAAATCATTGATTAGTCTCGCAATGGAGAAATTCCCAATTCACAGCAGCAAAGTTATGAAAGGAAGAAGTAGAAGAACTAATATAGACGCTGCTGGAAAGGCAGCCACTCTCGCGGTGCCATCTTGAAGTCAAAATAACAAAACAAAACAAAAACAAGGAAAGAACTTATCCAGTCATACCCTTTGTTCTTTATGTATTTTGACTTGTTTCATATGAATACAATAATAGGTTCTTCATTGTAGTATTCCAACAAGAACAGAAAAGGAAAAGATTCAACAAATAAATCTACTTATTGTCAAGTTCTGGATTGCGATGGAACAAAGTGGGTCCCACAAACGTAGACAATGATAAAGCTTTCACAAAAACTTGTACTATGGAAAAATGCTATACCGACAGAGTACAGCAAAGGTCACTGGTAACTAAGTGCCAGGCTAATACAAGATGAACATAAAGCGCTTGCAAAAGGCAAGGAGAATAAAGAATGCAAAATCGCTCGTCAGACAAAGACAAGCTAATCCAGTTACAAAAAAGATAAACTACTTACATAGAAAATACAATACATGAACAAGAGCGCTGTGAAACATGGTCATGAATGAAAGATAAACTACTTACATAGAAAATACAGTACAATACGTGAACAAGAGCGCTGTGAAACACGGTCATGAACGTCGAGATCAATGGTTCTTAACCTGGGTTCGATCGAACCCGCGGGGTTCAGTGAATCGGTCTCAAGCGTTCGACAGAGCCTCTGCCATGGAGCTTAAGAAACATCGGACTCAACATGTCAATTCATTATGACATGCCCGCCTGGCCATCGTTGGCTAGTTCATTTTGTGCACAATTAAATTAAAAAACGTACACTTTATAGTTGTTGTGTTTACTTTTTCTGTTTTTAATAAATGCATTTCTTTATGTCTTGAATTTGTAAAAAAAAAAAACCTTTTTTTTCACTAATGCAGTTTGGTGAATGTGCATATGAACTGGTTGGGTTCGGTACCTCTAACAAGGTGAAGAACCACTGGTCTAGATATTCAAATACTTGGTACAGGAGTCATGACCAAGGCTGAATAATCCGACTTCCGAGTAATTGGCGTTGTCAGTCCTTTTAAAGGCAGTTGATTGTCATGTGTGACTGCACCTAATCAATTCTGCATACATATGCCAATAGCATATGTACCGTATTTTCCGCACTATAAGGCGCACTTCATTCATTTTTCTCAAAAGGCGATGGTGCTCCTTATAATCCGATGCGCCTTATCTATCTATCTATCTATATATATATATATATATATATATATACATATATATATATATACACATTATATTTTGTGACTGATACAGCGATTATATATTTGAAAATTCTAGACTGATCTTCGGACAACTATCACACATTCAACTCAGACCCATCTGAGCCACATGAGACGGGAAAATGCCACTCAAACTTGGCTTCCCAAGGAGGTGGGTTGTCAAACCAAGAGAGACGGTGAGACAGGTGTTCCCAGACCTCAGATATTCCTTGCCGGCCTTAGAGGATGCAGAGATGGACGAATAGAAAAAATAAACCTAACCAGATCTATTCATGAATAATCGTTTTTGTTCCTGATTGTAAAGTGTCCTTGGGTGTTTTGAAAGGCGCTTATAAATAAAATGTATTATTATTATTATTATTATTACTACAAAATGAATAAAGAATGCTTTGCATTTTCGTGCCTGGTTGACTTTATTGTGTACACACGCATGCAAACATGCACACAAGATGTGGTATCAGAACACGACATTGTGCCCAATACCCCAATACCTTGTATTTACTGATCTCCACCTCCTAAGCTGTATATCACAAACGTTAAAAATTGGGGGAGGCATCTTGCATGGAGATCGGCTAGTGGCGCACTTTGGCCTGTCATGCTGGGTTGGCTTCTGGCCTCTCTGCTTTGTGGTGGGTTGCCTCCCTCGGTGGGGTGTAAGTCGCTGTATCTGGGTTTTTGGATTTGTCAGGTATGGCCTCTCTTTCTTTGGAAATGGATGCCTAACACAAAACAGAAGAGCCAGTGCTACTCCACATTGAGAGATCCAGATGAGGTGACTTGAACATCTGATCAGAATGCCCCCTGGACGCCCCCTGTGGTGAGGTGTTCCAGGCACGTCCCACCAAGAGGAGGCCTCGGGCATGACGCATGACATGCCGGAGAGCCTGTCTCCCGACTAACTTTTTTTGTCACTTTCGTTTTTAAATTCAGTCCGTTTGCATTTTGTATGGGAGATTGGCCACATCCAACATGGCGGATACGACGACGTGTTGAGTATTCAGCCAGTCCTGCTAAAGGTGGGGTCTAGTATACATGTCTAAGTACTACAGTATACCGTGTCAATCTTGTGGACTTCACATACTTTTAATTTCCGTGTTTGACGTCACGGGAACGACGACGGACTTTTTAAAATACAGATTTAAAACTTGATATAAAAACAGATACCATATCTCTTTGTGACGTCTCGAAGTGGACATAATCCGTTTTCGATGTGGGCCTGAGTGCATGTCGAAAAGGATCGATCCGACCAGGCTTTCAGCTGCCAGTGAATCCTCACCAATGCTAACCAAAGAGCTACATTCAGATAACCCATACTTACGGTGAATGATCGTTAAATAGCGAATTTACAACACAATTGCTACTGTATATCATCTTTCAGGTGCTTGAAGATTATGGAGAGTAAATATAACCTCAAGAGTCCAGGTAAGTTCCATTCTATTTCACGTTTACGAAGTGTGCTATTCCACTTTAACCACACGGTTGAAATTTCTAACAATACAATTAATTGTATGTCCATTCGCTCTAAAAAATGGTTACATCAGTGAGGGAATGAGTGTCTTTCAAACGGCATGTCTTGCCCTCGCAAGTTGCCTCCTTTTCCGTTTCTAACGGTTTCCATTATTTTGAGAAATGGATTTCTACGATCACATTTGTATTTGAGTAGTGTTACAAGATGCGAATGTAGGTTTAGATACAGTAGGACACGTCATCAAGGGTTTATCCTTATTCCGATGCTTCAATCGAGGAAAACAGGAAGTCGGATTTATCCCCACTCTGGCTGTCCCAGTTCCGACCTCAAAGCGTTCGAGGAGAATGTAAACAAAGATTCCGATAAATTGTGTGTTGTTCTGGTTCATCACAACATATTTTGACCTCCAACGACCCTTAATAATTTCCTTAATTTATACAAATAAATGAATATAATATCTGCGCTTGGTGCTCTGTATAACTGATCTAATGGATTCCACAAAAGTGCGACATAAATCTGATGCATTATTATATTATTATTATTATTATTTAGACCAGGGGTGTCAAACTCATTTTTTTGTCGCGGGCCACTTCGGAGTTACGGCTTCCCTCGGAGGGCCGGTGCAAAATCTCAACGTCATTTATGACCCATGACAATTTGACATTTCGGTACCGATTTCAGCAAGAGTTATAATAGTTGGCACACATGATTTGCTCCTGCGGGCCACATAAAATGATGTGGGGAGGCCAGATTTGGCCCCCGGGCCTTGACTTTGACACCTGTGATTTAGACGCTTGAAGGTATGTGTCAAAACACAATTATAAAGCACTGTACACCTGATTATTCGTCACAATTTCCTGATAGAAAAAGATCCAAACGGATGAAAAAGATGGACGAAAATTGTAAATATCTTGAACACATTTATTTACATTCACATTTATTTTGTCAATATCTTGAAACCGAAAGGGAACACAAAGAGGCTAAGTAAGCAAGCTCTACCGTGCAACAAAATGAATGAGGGACACGACATGTGATCAGCCCGACAGAAATAAAATTTCTCGTCACTGTCAGTTTTTAAATCAAGAAACGTTTCCACATTTCAATATTACTCTGGCATGGTACATTGGCAATTTATTCACCGAGTGTTATGTATCCTCGCATCACTTTACTCCCATCATGTGAGCAAAATAACATTTATTCAGCCCATTTGTGTTTTACTGGCAGTGTTGGGCTTCCGAAAGTCAAATCTCCTAATCTTCATGGCACCATTCCTTCACCTTTGTTGGATTAATTCATCAGGTTAAGGCTCGATAAAAAGGTGTTTCCTTTCTACCATAGGAGTATGACTGAAGTCAGTGTATAACTTGCTTGCTGTATCTGCAAAATATTAGCTACGGAAACATTTATCCTTATCCTGCATTTAGTAGAAAATGCCTGTCACATTGTTTTAGTGTTGTCTTTTGTTTTGATAACATCAAATCTGTTACATCTGCACCATAGATTGTGACAATAAAGACTTTGTATTCGATTTTGTGGTTGGGGTTTTTTTTTTTTTTTTGCCCTCGACACAAAATTGGGTTGAGCTTGTCAAAATTAGATGTGCAACTTTATGTTCACATGGACCAGTATGTTATGATACAGCAAATGACTCATTCAATTCTTTGTTCGTTTTAACGACACTCGAATAATGGAGCAAATAAGATTTTTTTTTCACTTTACCTTTGTTATTTTTTCAATTACTTGTTCACTTAGGGACAGGTAGTTTGGAATTTTTTTTTTGTGCCTCAATAAATTAAATTGGCATTCAGAAACTGCATTTTGTATTTGGTTAGTCTATTTGTGATATCACAAATAGACTAATCAAAAATTGTTTTGATGAGCTGAAACCTTTATTTATGATAAATATGCAAAGAACATATAAATCAGGAAGGGGGCAAATATTATTTTACAGCACAATGCTGGAAGGTTTGATTAAACATTTATATACATTTATCTGTTTTTGAACATTCATTTTTGGGGTCTTATGTCACACTCTTGGACCATGTTTTCTTTGAATCACACATGTACGTTTGCAATTCATTCTGCATCTGCTAACCTAAACTGACATCCGTGTTTGTCTTTGTTTGATTGGGCTAGCGGTGAAGAGGCTGATGAAAGAGGCTGCTGAATTGAGAGATCCCACAGAGCACTACCATGCCCAGCCACTGGAAGTAAGTTTACTGTATTGCAGATGTAGCGGTCCGCAGAAATGAGAACGTCCGCTTTTAACAATAAACTCTTTATAAATTGATTTTTTTAAATTTGTTTTTGAGCAGGCCAGCACAAACGTCAAATTTTTCTGAGAAATCAAACGACCATCACCATGTCACCATTTGCAATTGCTCTGTCTGTGCTGTTCAAACAAGGAGCGGGAAGATGAAAACTTATGAAATCCCACCACCATCTCACATTTATATTACAAGCCATATATACTACCTTACGCATCCCGAATGGTTTCTTACACCTGTACAAGCACTACGAATATAGATAACTGATTAAGAAAGTTGATATATATTACATATGGTTACGATCAAATTAATGGTCTGCTGTATTTAAAAAAAACAGTAAATTTCAGCAATACTTACATACCAACAATGGTAAATGAAATAATATCTACCAACATGGTAAAACAACGAAAGTTGATATATATTACATATGGTTACGATCAAATGAACGGTCTGCTCTATTTAAAAAACAGTAAATTTCAGCAATACTTACAGACCAACAATGGTAATAGAAATAATATCTACCAACATGGTAAAACAACAAGCACATACCAACTATGGTAAGAAAGAGCCAGTGACTGAGCAGTTAATGCTAAGCAATGCCCTCCCTGTACTGTGATCTGCCTGACACCAATTGACATGCGGATTCGTCAACACACACTCAAAGGTAAGAAAGAGCCAGTGACTGAGCAGTTAATGCTAAGCAATGCCCTGCCTGTACTGTGATCAGACCATGTGTTTGTATGATACTTTCAAGCTTTGGATGCTTTGGGATTGCTTGTGGTGTAAGTCCAGACTGTTCCACAGCTTTACCCCACATACAGACAGACAAAAACCTCCTGGGAGTACGAAAATTTGGTAGTGCAAAATTTCCAAACTCTCGAAAGCCATCAGCACTCTCTCGAACTTGTATATTAGGCAGTGATTTGTTAAAGGCTTTAAGTAAAATTACCGTATTTTCCACACTATAAGGCACACCTAAAAGCATTCAATTTTCATAAAAGCCGACAGTGCGCCCTATAACCTGATGCGCCTTAAATATGATGTTACAGCCTCTTTATATTCCCCATTGAGTTGTTTCGCTCTTAGTATTCCGATGCCATCTTGTGGTTATTATTAGCAGGAACCAATGTTAACCTGAAAGGGTTCTGCCTGACACCAATTGACATGCGGATTCGCCAACACACACTCAAGACACACCACAACTTTGTGAGCTCTGCGTAGCCATTATGAAACGAAGATAATACCAAGAGCATAATTAACGACTGACTAAATGAAGGAAGAAGGAGCCAAGCAAGACTTCAAAGCATATTTAACCCCTTGTGGATGGGAGTCCACAAGGTGTGTGTTCCTTTTTGTTGAATCAATTGTCTTCATAACTTTTGCCTGTCATTTATTGTTTTGTGATGCCATTTGTATTTAGATGTTTCATGTCCGTGTTTGTGACCAGTTCTCATGGCTTTGTTCCAGCTGCAGCGCTTTCAAAGGCTCTATATAAATAAAGGTTTATTGTATTGTATTGTATTCCCTTTAGCGTAGCTCCATCTAGTGGATGCATAGCGCAACCGCAGCCACCATTGTAGCTTCTATTCCATGCGCCTTGTAATGCAGTGCACCCTCGATCTGAAAAAAGTTTTAAAATAGGCCATTCATTGAAGGTGCCTTATAGTGCAGAAAATAGGGTAATAGGGTGTAATATAACACAAGGTCATGAGTCTGAAGTAAATTTGATTGAATAAAGAGATTATTAGTGTGTGCTAGAAATTGAGCCTTATGTATCATCCTGACTGCTTGTTTTTGCAATATGAATGAGGTATGTATGGAACATGGATAATTGTTTCCCCATATTTCAACACAGTAGGTATGATATGGAAGGACGAAGGACAATATAGTATTCTGATAGCATCACGATTTAGGGATTGCTTTGCTTTGTTCATGATCAGGAGGCTTTTGGAAATGTTTGTTCATATATGTTTGATATGGGCATTCCATGACAATTTGTTATCAGTTATTACTTCCAAGAATTTATATTCCTTAATATTTTCTAGCTTTACACCGTCTATGTATTATCAATTATGGATTACTTTTAGAGGTACCTAATATCAATTTTTTATTCCACAAGAAATGTCATTGTCAGTGTGATCACTGCGTACTGTATACTGTAGTTCGCTTTTTCCAGATTTGCGGTAGCATGTACTGAATATCCTCTACCTTTCCGTACCCTTCTAGGATAACCTATTTGAATGGCATTTCTCAGTCCGTGGACCCCCGGATTCAGATTTCGATGGTGGGGTTTACCATGGCAGGATTGTGCTTCCCCCAGAGTATCCAATGAAGCCTCCCAGCATTATTCTCCTTACAGTAAGACACACTTGCAGAGATTAATGCCTTGTACCTGGTTCACATGAGCGACAGTAAATGTGGAAATTGACTACATGCGAGTTAACCTCCAATCAGTTTTTGTTGTATTCTACTTGTGTGATCATAGTGCACATTTTCATGTGATAAAACTCCTACTACTTTTTTCGAATTTGAGGTTGTTATTTTTAGTGCTGTCAGAGATTAAAATATAGATTAATGCGATTAAAAAAAAGTAATGCGCTAAAAGTTCTGTCATTAATCGCAATTAACGCGATCATTTGACACCTCTAGTTATTTTATTTTCATGTTGTACGGAACCTGCAGCAGTAGAATCCCAAGTGGTCCAATTCGTTACTTTTCACTGTCATGCTTTTCAGAGACGCAACAATTTAGGAATATGATTTACACATTTGTCTTCTCCTTATCCCCAACCCACACCTCCCCTCACCCCGCCACCATCCATCCACTTTCCTCCGATTCATATTCTCCACCGCCCATGTCCAGCCAAATGGAAGATTCGAAGTCGGGAAGAAGATCTGTCTGAGTATATCGGGCCACCATCCAGAGACATGGCAGCCTTCATGGAGCAGTAGGTTTCACCACTGCCTATTTAGGCGTGTGTTTAAATAACATTACAATGAGGTCACTACTAATAGGAATGTGGTAACGAGAAGTGGGCTATCTTAAACATTTACCAATGACTTTCAACACTTGTGTATAGGTTTATGTACATGTGTATGAGTATTAAAAAATATTTATAAGGCCAAATGTAATGGTATACATGCATGTAGAAGTACATTTTGTGGTAATTAACATTACTTAATGCTGCATACTAATAGATTTAAACATGTATAAATTTGGTTAGGTTCGTGTATGAATAACAAAATGCAGTACACATATACATGTAGTACTGTATATGTTGCTCGATGTGACTCGCTGTTGTTTTGCTGACTTTCGCTGCCTTCCACGGACCGTTTGCGGACTTTTTGCGGACTTAAAATTTTATTTCTTTTTTTTAATGAATGTTTGAAAAAAATCCCCGATGCACTGAGGCCGCGATAAACGAACCGCGAAATAGCGAGGGATCACTGTAGCTTTTTTTCCCCTGTACAATTAGTTTAATTGTCTCCTGCCTTTACTTTTCATGTTTTTTTTTTACATGTATTCTTTGCATTCTTTCTGTATTTCAGTACGAACTGCTCTGATTGCCATCATTGGATTCATGCCAACAAAAGGAGAGGGTGCAATTGGATCTCTCGATTATACTCCTGAAGAGCGCAGGGTGCTTGCCAAAAAGTACGAGTTTTACTTAAATGCCTTTCATTATTTGTTCACTTCCAGAGTATAAATTTGATGCCTTTGTAGATTGTCAGTGTCACTGATTATAACGAACTGCGAGTTGAATCGAAGTAACTAGAGTAATTTGTTACTGAAGATACTTTAATCCAAAATTATTTTTCATGATCAAATTTATGTATGCAATCTTTGCATAGAAGAATACGAAACAGTACAGAATCGAATGGAAGAATAGCACGATAAAAGTCCCGAGAAATGTTAAATGTTAAAATGTTAAATGCCGTAGCGCTCGAATGACCTGCCAATCTACATTCCTAGCGCTTACCGTATGGTCACATGCCTTGGGTCTTGACCGAAGCCGTGTGGATCGTAAAGTTAGCGTCAGTCCACTAAGCAGTGCACCAAAAGTTATGTGAATTAATTTAAAATAAAATAGTATCGTGTTAGCTGCCAAAATGTTGCTTACTTAATAGCCTTTCAGAAATCTGCCATGGCAATTGTAAAGTCTCATCCTATGTTATCTACCAGTGGCGGAGCTATTTGGTGGCCAGTTTTGGCCACGGCCATCCCTGGGCATTGTTTGGCAAAAATTTACAAAAAAAAAAAAAAATTAAACATCTGTGACCTTCTTGATATTTTCACATGGATGCAGTATTTTTTGGTCCCATCATACTTACACGCTATCACAGCTCATTTCTATTAACTACATATATATGTTGAACGCGGCACATTGAATGGTCACCTGAACGACAAGAATAAGATCCAGGCCGTGATCAACGATGCCTTGCCAGTAATCGGATGCCCTGCTGACATAATTCCCTGGCCACTGGAAGAGATACAAACCACTGATACTGAGACAAGAATGCTCCTCCCAATGCATGGAGGCATGCCGTAAGAGCTCAGTGACTATTGACTTCCCATCATTACTTTAATAATCAGATGCCTGACTGGCAACCATCCCTTCATCGCGTAAATGCGGTCCTCAGTGTTGTGTAGTGCATTCGGGACAAATGATGCTGTGGGTATCCAGCCCGTTTTTCCAGGAGTTACTTGGGTGTCTTATTGACAGATTGTACACACGCCCGCTGCTCTTTCTTTGATCTACAATGCATGATTTACTTGAAGCACTTAATGTGCATCCCTGGTTATGTTAAATGTATTGTCTTCCAGATCCCAAGATTTTTGCTGTGAGATATGTAGCTGTACGTTGCGCTCAGCACTCCTGCCTCTGACTCCTGACAGCATCCTCACCCCAGAGGACCGCTTAGCAAATGGGCTAGTTCAACAAATCAACTTCAAGGTACAAAATAAATTGGATCATACAGAAAAAGCCAGATAATGTTGTAATGCTGTGCTGTAATGTGTCTGGTGTTTCCCCAAAAGGAAGGTTTTGGAGTATGTCAGGTCTATCAGGCAATCAGACCCTTAAAACAAACTTTAAAACCCAAGAGTCTAGGAGTCAAGCAAAGTTGTCTTTTACTTGTGCACATGGAGAGTGAATGAGTGCAAAGCATTACAATCTCCGAAAAGCTTTGGAAACACTTCACTCGTCTCCACACTTTTGTCTTAGGGACTGTCCGAATACCCAAACTTCTAAAGGGGCGGGGAAACACACAATATATTCCGAGGTAATTGGAGGAGTCATGCTGACGGGCACGCCGTCCTGAGCCTGGTATCTTATCTTCAAGGCTGCGAACAGGAACAAGCTGGTGTCCTCAGAATGCGAAATTACTTTGATTGCATGTTTTGTACGTAAATGAAGTCATTGATGTGTCACACTAGTAAGTTGATTAAACATCTAAAAGCAGAGAGCAATAAATTATATACAGTTACTCTTCCAGAGTGGTGGTGTACACACTTGAATGCTATTGAAATGTACCGTACAATGCATCTTTATTTATAAAGCAGTTTCACAAGATTGCTCATGTTCGAAAATCCTCCACTTGTTGCAGCATATATAATCAGGTATCATCAGCATGATTTATGATATACAGTATTTCCTGTTAATGTTACCAAGTGGAAGCATGTAGATGCTAAACATATACCGGCTAAGTACCGATCCCTGCGGGACTCCAGATATGACATGACAAAACTTGCATTGCCATGAATTACATGTTGCATCCTCTCTGAGAGGTCCAAACTTGTTTTGAAAGGCGCTTATAAATGTAATGTATTATTATTATTATTTTTATTAAACCAGCAAAGTGCTTGGTTCCATCTCAAAGCGGGTGCGATTGTGTTTTTGGACCGTTTCTCCGTAGCATGTCAGTGGTGGGGCGATGTGACCCAAAGTTCCGAATCAATTGCATCCCTTCACAGTAATGGTATATATCACGAACTAAAATTAAGTAATACTTTAATAAATTCATCATTTCTGAGGAGTTTAATTATGTACTCCAGTAATGAAGCTAAATTGCAGTATTTTTTTGTTTGTACCAATAGCATCGTAATTTATTTTATTTTATTTTTTTTTATTTTTTCAGTGCAGAATTCAAAGTTAATGCTCCTGAGTGCAAACAAAAAATAATACATCTGATGTTTTAAATGAAAACACTATACAACTGGCTTTCAGTTTAGGTTTCTACAATTCATCCAAATTACTGTTCCAATGAAATAATTAGCCTTAACCGTGTCAGTTTTCCGCTGTAGAGTCGAAAGCAATTCCATGTTTGATTTGCCCAAGCCGTGGACACAGTCAAGCTTTTAAAAAAAATGTTTGTTCTCTGTGTAAATGCAGACAGGATCAAGTTCATCAAGTCAAATGGGAAAAGAGAATGAAGATGCCAACAACAAGGTTTCCCCTCTTACCCAGGAAGGGGACTCGAATTCTTCAGGCTGCGAAGCTGTCGATCGTCCCTCGACTGAGCAGGTAGGTGTTTGAAATCTTCTGTCAGTACATTTGGGCTGCTAATGAATTCCTTGAGGCAAAAATAATTTCTTGAATTCCTTGACTGCAAAATAAACATCACCCAGTCAAGGTCATTATTATCATGTACTCATTATTGGACATTTCCTTAAAATATTGCCCAGTGTTCAAATTATTTTGATGAAATATTTTGTAGCGGGGATGTCTCGATCACATGATCGGAAATTGGGCCAGGTCATTCCAGTTTCATGTGATCGGAAATCGGGGGTAGGGGATGGGGCAACAAAATAATTTAGAGCAGGGGTGCCCAAACCTTTTTGACCTAAGATCTACTTTTCGATCAACCAACCTCCCGTGATCGATACGCACGCACTTGCACACGCATCTCATGATGGGCAACAGCCATAATGGCCCCTATGATGAACGAAATAGAAAAAATAAACTCGACACAAGAGTTGATGAGTTTGTGAAAAGGATTTCCTGCCTACCTTTGTGGGAGACCTGACACGGGCGATGCAATTTTGCAGCCTGTTAACTATCGTAGCTAACGTGTATCGTTTTCAAATTTTTCTCTTGGCACTTCCGATTCCCATTCTGATAGGTTGGTTATTTTCTGTACATGAAACAAACTCTGAACGAGAAGAATAATAACAATAAAATATATAGTGCAACAGCTCTGATCGCAAGCTGCAGGCTGCTGAGCGCTAACAACTTCCGGTTCACGCACCACCGTAGGTTAAAGGTGACCTGCTTTGTTTTATTTTATTTTTTAAATACTTTTTGTGAAAGTGAGACTGATGGGATGATAAGGGTGCATTGTGCATTAACACAAAAAGTATATGACTTACATGCATAGATACACAAATGTTTTTGTTTTTTTGTTTGTTTTTTTTCCTCTACACCCCATCGCAATCGATTTGGGACCAGTCCGCGAGCTACCGGTTGATCGCGATCGACTTAATGGGCACCCCTGATGTAGAGGATCACAGATATTGTGGAAAGAAAAAAAAATTAAATAAAAGAGATGGTGTTCAGACAGCCCAGTGATCAACTGGTTAGCGCGTCGGGTTCCGTCAGGGCCTTGTTTATCTTTCATCATCAGGAAGTAAGAAAATCAAAAAGTGCTCTACAAATGGATCACATGCACCACATATCCTCCTCTACAGGCAGAAGTTTCAACAGCCACCACAGTGGAGAGGCCGCAAATGACTTTGCCTCCGAACGTTGATCGTCCTCCCATTCCCCAGCAGCGTCGTGTCCAACACGCCCAAAGAGACAACAGAGAAGCCCCAAACAGGCCCATCATTCCAGCGGTTCACGAGCCCCAAGATGGAAGCCACGCAGGCTCTGCCATGCTCATGGTGGTGCTTATTTTGGTCCTGGCTGGACTTATTTTCCGAAGGATTTATCTGGCCCAAGAGCACAAGTTTGATTATGAGCTGTGACCTTTCCTCGCTACTAATTTGATCCTAAGTCCGCCTCGCCATTCTACTTTTAGCACCACGAGCAGCTGCAGTTGCACCAGAGGTTTGACAGTCACTGGAACATTTAACATTCTCTTTTCTTATTAGCACGACGCCCCGTCAGCTTGATGCGCTTTCCTGCAGAAGGTGTGGATGTGTCCTCCTCACTTGCAGCATCCGTTTGTTCTGTTTTTCTTTTTAAACAATGTGAATTTTTGTTCTGCCCCTAGATGATCGTGCATTTTTGAGTGGGTATGGAATCATCTGATGGGAGATTAATTCGCGCTCGTGACACTTTACGCACCCAAGCCCCTTTTTAATGAACTAATTCACTGGTGTTGACGTTTATATTTGTCAACTGGTATGTTTTCTGCCACTGATGAATGTGGGTCTTTTCAACGGGCAGACGCCTAGCTTGGCTGTTTCTATATAACTAATGATGAAGGGATGGTCGGATGGTAGTAGACGGCATTGTTGCATCGCTTAAGAGTTGAAATCATAGCTTTTGAAATGCATCAGATGTCATTTCAACTCGAGTCGGCATCGCTCACAGCATGTTTCGTAATTGTTTATCTACAAATACATTTTTTTTGCCATCAAACCTCTTTCTCAGGCTGGTTTATTTTATTGTTTTACAGCAGGGGTCGGTCACCAATGTGGTGCCTGGGAGCACCAGGTAGCCTATTTAAAAAAATAGGCGATCAGCGACGTTCCTTCTATGCTACGCGCTGAGCAATTACCCACTTCTCTCAGCGCACACGATACATTTCCACACTCATTCCTTCATTTCCACACCGTCTGAGCAATTACCCACTTCTCTCAGCGCACACGATATATATTTCCACACTCATTCCTTCATTTCCACACCGCTCTGATCTTCAAAAGCACACCGCACCATTCCCACTTCCCTTACAGTCTCAGTAGCAACACCAAGAGGGCACACGCAGTTGTTCTCCTGTAGTTTCAAGCATACTTTGATGCACTGATGCTCACCATTGACAGATCAGTCATTCCATTCAGCAAGTCCAAACATGGGCGTGGGTTAAAATCCCCTTCAATGACACCCTTTCATGTGTTACACAGGCCAGGTGACTAGAAATGTTCATATTTTATTCATGCTTTCCATTATTTATGAGTACAGTGGACAGTGTGCGACCACATTCATACAAATTGTATTGAGACTTAATTATGCTTAAAATAACCTTGCTATAATAAAAAGTAACAAATTGGGGTTTGTTTTATTTGTGTCTAAAAATATCTATTCAATGATCAGTTTTATTTCAATATACGGGTGTTTTTTTTTTTTTTTGTGACTTAATATATTTTTTTTTTTGTGACCTACCTACTGGTTTGACCGCTGTGTGCATATCTGATTTCACAGACGTCTATATGACTTGACTCGTAATTGGCTGAAGCCAGAGGGCAGCCATCTTACGATGCCTTTGGTGCAAACAACTTTATTTATTATTATTATTATTTTCCACTGAAAACAATGTTATCAATATGCGTTTTATGCGAGTATCACTGTATAGAGTGATGGGAGCCTTTCAATCAACAAACTTCACTGACAAACAGATAAATTCTCCATGGTGAGTTAAAAAAAATGTGACCTCTATAAAAGGCCAAAAATGGGTCCAAACGTGAAAGAAAATTTTAAATGGTCGACTTCCTGTTGGCTTTGTGATACAGCTCCAACAGACTTTTTTTGTAGATCTCGGGCTGTGAACACAGACCTCGGAAATGTTGTCGATCATGGTGACACAACTAGCGCTGCTTTGCTAAAGATTTTTAGGTGTGTTGTTTTAAAAAAAAAAAAAATCGCACGATAACCTAATAAAATATTGATGCTGTTGCTAGGCCTGATTTCTTTGCAAAGTTTCATGAGTTTTTGCGCATGTTTACACCCTTAAAAGTGGCGTTGTTTTTCTTGGTGAGTGGCATGTTGCCGTGATAACAGTGTTTTGTGAAAATTCACAAATTTTGTGTTTTAACAACATGAAGGCCTAAACACTCTTGATCGAATATGTAGTAGATCTCGTTATCCCTCGAGTTGAAAAACTAAGAATAAAACATTTCCTGTCGCCAGTGGGTGGCACTACCATGACCACAAAAAAACAAGTTCCTCGATGTCTTCAAGCCTAGACTTCCATCAAATAAGTGAAATTTGTAGAAATTGTGATCATCTGGGTCAAGTTACAGCACCATTTACTGTCACAGTGATTCATTAAAATTTATGGCACCGTAATGCATACGTCTTTCACCAAAAAGTCACCATACCAAAAGCATCGTTAACTACTAACTAAACGAAGCAAGGAAGGAGACAAGCAAGACTTATAAGGACATTTAGCCCATTGTGGATGTGAGCCCACAAGGTTTGTGTGCCTTTTTGTTGAATCAATTTTCTTCATAACTTTTGTCTTTCATTTATTGTGTTTATATGTCCATGTTTGTTCCCAGTTCTCTTATTCCTTTACAGCTGCAGCGGTTGTGAAGGCTCTAGTCCAGTGGTTCTTAACCTGGGTTCGATCGAAATCTAGGGCTTCGGTGTATCGGTCTCAGGGGTTCGATGGAGCCTCTGCCATGGAGTTTAAGACACATCCGACTCAAAATGTCAATTAGTTATGACATGCCCGCTTGGCCATCACTTGCTGGTTCATTTTGTGCACAATTAAAAAAACGTATACTTATGACTTGAAATTTAAGGGTTTTTTTTTTTTGTATTTTTAATAAATGTGTTTTTTAATGTCTTAAATTTGTAAAAAAAAAAAAAAAACATTTTCATTTTTCACTAATGAAGGGTTTGGTGAATGTGCATATGAACTGGTTGGGTTCGGTACCTCCAACAAGGTGAAGAACCACTGCTCTAGTCTATATCAATAAAGCTGCATTGTATTTTATTCTCTTTAGTGTAGCACCATCTAGTGGATGCGTGCTGCAACCGCAGCCACTATTGTAGCTTCTATTTTCCGTGCCTTATAATGCGGTGCGCCCTATATATGAAAACAGTTTTAAAATAGACCATTCATTGAAGGTGCGCCTTATAATGCAAAGCGCCTTCGAGTGCAGAAAATACAGTAATTTGTTTAGTTGTGTTTTGTGCATGCTTGGAGCTGCTGTCTCCTGTTTGGTTGGTGTGTGGAGTGAGTGCATTTTAAATAGGATCTCTGCGTGGTGTTGAGGAGACGGAAGCTGTTGATGGAGAATTGGTCATCCGAGTGGCCGAGACCTAACCGCCGGCAGTTTCAAGAGCCTCCGTCGGATGACGTCGGCAGTGATGCATCTGACAGCAGTAGGTCGTTTGCTCTCGACCTCCAACCGGTGACTCTTGATTAACAATTCGTGCTTCCTTAATTTTTTTAGTTTGTGCATTTTGTTTTAGGTTTCAGGTGTCCTCCTTAGTTTGCGTGTCACGTCAGCTTTTGCTGTTTTTTGCTTTTGACCCATTTTTATGACCTTTTTGTTGCATACATTAAAAATAGTGTTTTGGTTTTTTTTTTTTCAATCCCTTTTTGCCTTTGGGCTAATTTTTGTTGTTCTAAATCTGGTAAATTATTGCTCGGATGGTGTTTTGTATTCCTCCCTTGGGGACAGAGAGCGATTCCCTTCTTTCATGTATTGTGCCTACCACCACCATTACCAACTGTCAACATTGAATCAGCTCATTAGCAAGCTTGCAGGCTCTGAAGAAAGAGGATGATCCTGATCCTTTGAATTAAGTATGTTGCACCAGGAAAAGATGGAAAAGAGGCAAGACAAGTGGCCCTTCGGGCCCGAAGCTGGACATGCCTGCTGTCGATCTTCGCGTTTCCACTGTAGAGTTTACAGGCAGAATGGTGACAGCTGAGGAACTTGAGCCACTCATCGATTATCCATTTAAACAACTATGTGAACAATTGACAGCCATTTTTTAACAGTGAAAATTGTCCAAATCCTCTGATTTCAGTCTCTCAAGAGCAATTATTCCGATTTCTGCCGCCTTTTATGAAAGCACATTATCTTTTGTGTTTAATTTGCACAAATATTTTACTTTGGGAAAAGATAACCAAACTAGTGGCTGAATGAGTTCCAAAAAGCTTCGTGAGTTAAACGTCAATCCCTCTTGTGATATTGCTTAATTGTTTAGTTGTTTTTATCACTAAACAACACAAAAAAAAAATGGTTACTGAAGAGTAATTGGGGGGGAAATGGTTTTGTAATCCAAAATAACATTTTATCCAATTAATCGATGAAAATCATTTCTAAAAATATTTGCGAGTGAGTCATACAGTAATCCTAAAATAATTTATTATCTTTATACATCATAACCATGGTACAATATGGTTCCAATTTCAATGAGGCATTGAAACGCATCAGTCCGGTCTTTTTTTTCTTTTTAGTTTATATTGTTCTCACACATCCACGGGCTGCGATTATCCCCACTTGGAACTGCTCCTCCTCATGAGTTTCTCTCCTTCGCTGTCGATGGCCTCATAAAGCTGCTGGTTGTTTTCTTTCGTAGCATGGAGGTACCCCAGATAACCAACACACAAGGTGATAGTAATCAGTCCAAATGCCATCACTGGTTTATTCTGGGGAAGAAGGGGTGGATGAGCAGAGGATTCAATTATAACAAAATTCTAAAATACAAAATGAAAATATGAAGAAAGTACTGAACTTCCAATGTACTATTTTGTACTTTACTATTGCGCGCACCCGAATAAAAGCTGCACTCTTTATAAATGCCCACATCATATTTTTGATTTTAAAGGTACCCTTCAGTCATTTCCTCCCCATGGAAGCTCACTGTGAAGAAAAAGCAAAACCTTCGCTTATTGTCAAAAAGGTAAAACCAATTGTCACTACAAATTAATGTGCAGATATCTACCCATGCCTACATCAACACCTGAAATCATCAGGAAAATGACCTCACTATTATGGATGCTGCCCTTGTTAACCTTTCCACTCCCATTAAAAAAAAAAGGATTCATGTGATGAGGCATGGGCCGATTACTGGTTTACTGTGGTTTTAAAAATTCAACAATTCAATAACTGCTAATATTGGCTGTCACCTGTCATCAGAAACATTTTTATTGGCGAAGTTTGTATAACAAGGAAATTGTCTTTGATAGTCTAGTACTGTATAATGTATAAGATCAAAATTGCAGATTTCAGGGGCCTTTTATTTTGAAATGTTACATCAGATCTTTATGAAAGTACTTTGGTTGAATAACTGAGGTAGCCTAGTGTTCCCTGAACCTGGTCTTATTGCCAGATAATATATGCTGTACACAAAATAGCTGTGTGTGTGCGTGTGCGTCTGACACACGCGCGCACACACACGAGTAACGTGAATGCACTGATTGACATCTTTTATTTTGAAGGTGGCGAACACCGCTCTGATTGACATCTTTTATTTTGAAGGTGGCGAACACCGCTCGCTGTCAGCGGATTACCGTAATGCACAGCTCCAACAATCTCTGTGGCGGTTTGTTTGACTTCGTTTTTGTATGTGGAGACCACCTTGACCGCAGTAACGTCAGAGGAGTGCTAAGACCCCCTCCTGCCCTTGCGGAAGGCGCTTTTTTTCGGGAGGAAATACAAAACTGCAAATGGAAGTACAGTCCGGTGTAACACGTCTCTTACGGGTTTGATGAAGAGTTCGGGGTTGACAGCTCTGAACAGTGTGGTAGTCTGTGCACGCCTCAATCCGGGCGTCCTGTAGTCTGTTTCGACATTCTTCTTTCCTTCACTGCCTTCCTTAGGTGCCATGTCCGTGAGTTACTAAATGCCGTAGGTACTTCCTCGTCGTTGTTTTTCTTCTTCCACAGATGGGAAGGAAGTCCGATTTACTTTCGGCGACCAAGAAGGTGTTCTTGAACCCACCTTTGAACAACTGGGAGGTCCGAGTTGCGAGATCGGAAAAAAAAAGCAACCCGACAGAGTTCAGTCAGACGTCACCCGACAATGGGGACCTCCATTGAAACCAAGAAGGTTTTTATGAAGTGCAGGGTTGAGGACCGTAGATGTGACGTGGGCATTAAGACACTGGGCCCATTTTTTCTGTGACTCCCGTGCTGGCTGTTTTAAGGCGCACATGCGCAGTAGATCGGTCAAATTCATCGCGAACTACGGCAATTACAGTCAGACAATATACCTAAATAATGTATGCGCAATCAGCGGCGGAAGTTGTAAAAAGATTACCTATCCTATTAGGTTATTACGAGATGCCCATGCGTCTGCCGAATTTTTATTGTCTTTAAATTGACACGATATTAAAAGACTACAATAAGGAATCAGAGTTGGCATTTCAGCTTTCCGAGCAAAACAGTTTGTCGTGCGATTACATCGTTGCTACCAATATTAACATATAGCCATCCGGAAATTCTATTCAATTGTTAATTTAGGCGCCGTCATTGTGTACGCCACGGCACAAGTCTCAGGCTGAGTGTTAACAGTGACGTCTCGCGATGCACACGAGACGTGAGGTACATGCAAATGTAAAGGGCCATTTGATTGTCACACAGAAAAAAAACCCCATTAATTTATTGATGAATTAACTTCATGATCTGCTGTTACCCACCGCCTAATTTACCTAGCAAAATTCGTGAGGGGGAGTAACTGCATTTGCAGTTTGAAAAGGCCACAAATTTATATGTGGTCAAGACACTATCTGAGTCAAAGATGGCCGAGCTGTTGCCCAAAGGAAGCACTTTAAATTTCTCCTTGACCCCATGACGTTTTCACAACAAAGGTTAAGGGAAAGTGGCACGAGGTTGGGAGATTAGGCGATTGGACTTTCCAAAGAGTACCACAAAATTGCTGCGATGCGTCACGCCAGCGCATCCCGTTGTAACTTTGACACATTCAATATGGCCGCAATGTCGACATCGGGTCCAGAGCTCTGCGTGTGTTCTATTTTTCTATGTCTGTGATTAATACTTCGTCCAATCAAAATCCAAATGCTGTGAGTTGACACATTTTCGAGCGGGAAAAAAGGAAACTGGTGTTTTCAAGAGTTTGACGATGTTTTCGGCGTGCTGAACAAAACTCTTGTACGAGGTTGTCATTGTGTTTTAGCATATTAATGCGATTTAAGATTTCACAATATCTGTCTTCGATTGAGTCCTTCAGCCTACTTCTTTGAAGGTAAAATCGTTTTCTCTTGTATGGGATGGCCTGTGTTTACATTGCAAAATGTAGGTACGGGGATGTGTTGTATCCGCAGATGAATGACACTGTAGATTTTAAGTGCCCGTGGAACCGCTGTTTTCCGTAATCCAAAACGTTAGCATTTTTCATTTTACGACTACACAACTCAAATAATGGTGTAGAGCAAATGTCCCAGTTTTAATCACGACTTAAGTTCAAGTACACGCGTTGTTGTCATGACTTGGACAACATCTCCCTGAATTAGTCGACAAGGGTCGTTTTTTCCACATCCTTATACCGGTATTTATGACAAAAATTGTCTCTTTCTACTAAATTGGTCGACAAACGGACGCACTTTTTTGACGTCACAGCTGGCTAGGTCCCTTGTGAAGTTACTCTGACCCGTCAGAGTGTAGTTACGTGACAAACATTCACAAAATAAGTTCTCAACAACGTCACGGAAAAGAGCTGGGGGAAAAAGCGAAACAAACTGTGTTTACATTTTCCCAATATGTTACTTTTTAAGGAAGTTGTGACATTTTTAAAGACTTAAGAAAGTAGGAAATGCCCCCCCTTTGTAACTCAAAGCAGGATGCTCCTACATTTGTGCTACAAATACCTGTACAGTAGTAACATATCCCACAATTCCATGCAGTCGACCATACTGGCAGTCAGCTTCTCGTTGTCTTTGCGAGTGATGTAATAATGTGTATGTAAATGTATCGATTGGTTTATGTCTGTGGAACGAAATTTACTCAAGGACCCTTTTCACCCCTACTTAAATTACAATATTGTCCAAGGTGAAATATATTTTTTTCCTCACAGCTGAAACCAAGTCATCAGACGTGTCTTTTTGAGCTCTGAAATTTGTTTTCCTGACTGTCTTCTGCCCAGCAGGAAACGTATAAAAAGTTAGTCTGTGGTCAACTTTTTTCCTTTTGTGATTGTGAGAGTCATTGCTTCACCTCCTAACACAGCAATGATTCACCATATTTGAATTAGGCAAGCTCAATAAGACAAAAACTCATAGCATCCAAAAGGTCGCACGCACCGATGATGACGAAACAGTTCAATTCCCTATTCCGAGAATGTCTTTAAAGCGTTCAGTTGGACATTAAATTTCACGACCAATATATGTTGTGCAAAGTTACCATTGGAAAACTAAAATACAGTATATGGCAGTGTTGCCAATTTGGTCCCCTCTGACCAATCTAGCAACCATTTTCCTAAAAAAGGCAACATCACCATTCTCCACATTTAGGGATGGCGATGAGATCTGAAGGCACAGTTGAAACCGAGCTCGAAGAGGAGGAAAACCTTGGACCACAGCCTCTATCCAGACTCGAGGTATGTAATCATGCGATTTTGTTTTACTTTTGTTGTGTGCTAAGGGCTAAGTGGCTACCAAGTGGGACCAAAATGTTGTATGAATGGAATCTATGTGAAGGTAATAGAGATGGTAGCTATGACTTTAAGGACTGTTCCGTTCACATTAGGTTTTAAAATTTAGATCATTCAGGGGTTTTTTTTTTTAATTTAATTTTTTTTTTGAAGAAGAACCTGAAAAAAAATCTTCGACTGGTTCATTTTTTGCTCATATTTTGGGCATGTGTGTGTTCATTGCACAACTAAATTTGACTAAAACTGAAATGTGACTAAAACTAACAAGCATTTTTGCACCGAAAGACTAAGACGAAATCTAAAATGGCTGGCAAAAACAACGCTGATGTATATTAATTAACTGTTGTTAATCTGTTTTTAATCACCAAAAAAAAAAAAAAAAACAACAACAATAATTGCTTCATAAACAGCTTGGAAATTCTAGCATGAAGACTCCTGACAAAATTTGTTGTGATTTTTTTTTCTCCCCCACTTTTTGTGTGCGTGCGTGCGTGCGTGCGTGTGTGCGGGTGGGTGGGTGTGCGCGTGTGTGGCTGGGTGGCTGGCTGTCTCGGAATTTTCTCTGCAGCAATGTGGAATAGGGGCCAGCGACATCAAGAAACTGGAGGAGGCAGGTTTCCACACCATTGAGGCAGTGGCCTACGCTCCAAAGAAGGAGTTGCTGAACATAAAAGGCATCAGTGAAGCCAAAGCTGATAAAATTATAGTAAGTTTCCATTTGTTGAATCATTTTTATATATATTTTTTTCCTGTTCAAGCTTGCTGAGAATTTTTTTTCGTATCTTATTACCGTGTTTTCCGTACTATAAGGCGCACCTAAAAGCATTCAATTTTCTCAAAAGCTAACTGTGTACCTTAATAACTAACTAATAAATAATCCGATGCGCCTTCTACGTGGATCAATAGTCTGATTTCTTGGACATAGTATTTAAAATGTTCCATAAAGTGCTTTGTTACAGCTGCAGCGGTCGTGAAAGCTCTATATAAACAAATCGGAATTGTATTGGATTGTATTCCCTTGAGTGTAGCTCCATCTAGTGGATGCATAGTGCAACCGCAGCCACTATTGTAACTTCTATTCTATGCGCTTTATAATGCGGTGCGCCCTAGATATGAAAACGGTTTTAAAATATGCTATTCAATGAAGGTAATCCTTATAGTCCGAAGTGCCTTATAGTGCAGAAAGCCCACAAGGGTTGCGGGGCGTGCTGGAGCCTATCCCAGCTGTCTTCGGGCTACACCCTGAACTGGTTACCAGCCAGTCGCAGGGCGCACAAAGACGAACAGCCATCCACACTCACACTAACACCTAGGGACAATCTAGAGCAGGGGTGTCAAACTCCGGTCCTGGAGGGCCGCTGTCCTGCATGTTTTCCAAGTCTCCCTGTTGCAACACACCTGATTCAAATGAACAGGTTTAATGTCAGGCTTGCGCAGAGCTTGCTGATGATCTGATCATTTGAATCAGGTGTGTTGCAACAGGGAAACTTGGAAAACATGCAGGACAGCGGCCCTCCAGGACCGGAATTTGACACCCCTGATCTAGAGTGTTCCATTCACCTGGCCCGCATGTTTTTGGAATGTGGGAAGAAACCACATTACCCGGAGAAAACCCACACAGGCACAGGAAGAACATGCAAACTCCAAACAGAAAGGCCACAGCCGGAATCGAACCCCGCACCTCTGCACTGTGAGGCCCACGCGTTAACCAGTCGACCACCGAGCCGCCCTGGTGTATTTCAAAGATTACATGATGTAATTTTATTCACACCAACTACTTTCGAGACATTGGACTTGCCTGAATTAATTGAAGTTCTCCCACAATTTTGTTAGACCCTTCCTCTGTTGCCATCATGTGGAAGGATGGCAACAGGCAGTGTCGGCCACCTGTATTTTTTTTTTTTATTTGTAATGATCCTTTACTGATTACATAGAAGGCTTTTGTTGTGATTTTATAAATTGACAGATTGTGTTGCAAATTCTCATAAGAAGCTACGAACCCACTTTCACATCATGAGTCATTCTGCTAACTCTTCAAGGATTTGCTCTTTTCAGACTGAATCTGCCAAGCTTGTGCCTATGGGCTTTACCACAGCTACTGAGTTCCACCAGAGAAGAGCAGAAATCATCCAAATCTCGACAGGCTCTAAGGAATTGGATAAACTCCTACAGGGTTTGTAGATATTTATCTGCAAAGTTTTATCCAAGTCTGCATATTCAGCGGTTCCTTGAATTTCAATCCAAATCAGTGATACTGGTCTTTAAACTTGTTTCTTTTTACCATTAATTTTATATGACTTGTATTCATATACAGCAGGGGTGCCCAACCAGTCAGAGACTAAGAGCCAATTTTTTTCCTGTGTTACTGCAAAGAGCCACATCATACCCTTCCTCGTGCGCCCGCAAGCACACACACACACACACACACACACACACACACACACCTTTTTGCCCAAAGATCGACTTTTGAAGCGACCAACTTCCCACGATCTACACGATCGTGCACGTACAGGCATACACACAAACACACACACACAACGTGCACGTGCACTCGCGGGTGCCCACCTGTGCACTCACGCACGGGCCGAAAATGAACGAAAGCTAAAGACACAAACAAACAACCCCCCCCCCCCCCATTTCCTCCTCCCACCCCATGCGGTCGATTTGGGACCAGTTCGCTGGCTCCCGATATCTATAATGCAATAGAGACAGTCACAGCTCGAGCTGGATTTTTTTTTTTTTTTAATCTTTTTTTTTTCCCGCGAGCCATGGAGCAGCTTAAAACCCCAAAAGAGGAACTTGACCCCGCAAGAGAGAGATCACAACAGCAGATGTTGCTTTTTGTGAGATCTCTTAACTCTACTTACGAAATTAATTGGTTCTGGAAGAAATTTCTTAACTAGAACATTTTGCAAGTAGAGACGCGTTTTGCATGTAAATGCCCTAATCCGTTCCAAGCCCCCCCAAAATTCAGACATAAATGTTTTATAAAGCATATAAATGTATGAAAACAGCCATAACTGTCTTGTCATAACATAACATTGTCTGCTGGTCAGGCAGCATCTCGGCCCGGGATAGGAAGAGATTAGAGCGACTAGTCAGGAAGGCTGGTTCTGTCCTGGGCTGCTCCCTCGACACTCTGGAGGAGGTGGGCAACAGCAGGATGCTAGCTAAGCTAAAAGCTATGTTGGACAGTCCCTCCCACCCCCTCCAGCCAGCCCTGACAGCACTCGGTAGCTCCTTCAGTCAGAGACTGTTACACCCGCGTTGCAAGACGGAGAGATACCGCCGCTCGTTCCTACCGACTGCTGTCAGGCTGCTGAATAAAAAATGAATAAATCAATAAAGCATAGAATTATTTAAATGATATGACAACATATGTGAATAGTACTGTGACTATTGTATTATATTGCACTTAATTATTGACCTTATCCATGTTTGTATTTATATTGCACTTAATTGAACTGTGTTTTCTTTTCTCTTCTTTCTACCCACAATCTTGCTGCTGAAGGCTGTAAATTTCCCCAGTGTGGGACAAATAAAGGATATCTAATCTAATCTAATCTAATCTAATAACGGCCCCTAAGATGAACGAGGCACTTTTGCAGCGGGTTAACTATCGTAGCTCACGTGTACCGTTGAAAAATGCTTCTCTCGGGCCTTCGCATTCCCATTTTTTTGCCAGTACCCTCAGTGATTTTTTTTTTTTTTTTAACATACATGGCAATTTTCCGCGGATCCGCGGAAATCCGCCGTTTTCTTTTTG